GTTCCCCCTTGTTGTCTGTCTCGGGAGGTCCTCGCCGCCACCGCTGGATTCGCCTTGGAACTCTGGTCAGGACGCACCCCGGGAGAGAGAGAGGCCCGGGGAGCAGCGGTATCAGTACCGCTTGGTTCCCCCAGATCTCGTTTTGCTGCACGCCAGACCGAGCGAGCGGAGTGGGCGAGGGGGGCCCGGTTCTGGGTAGGAGCTTCCGGGGCCTCTGGAAGCTCGCAGTCCAGTCCAGCCCTTTTCTCGTCCCTCGCGCCTCCAATGGGCGAGCGGGAGGGCGAGGGGGTGGGATCGAGGCTCGCACACAGCGGGTTTCTGACGTTTTCATGTGTTGCTGTCCTCCAGACGCCTCCAGAGGCCCCTGCGGAGTCCTCCCCCTAAGATTAACTCAGGCACGTCCCTCTACGGGAGGAAGGCTCAAGAATAATCAAACATAATCTGGGTATTATTTGTCGGCTGCTTTTATTTTTTGTTGAAGGTATTCTAAGCAAATCGTCCAACATCCCCCTGTAGGAGGACATGCCCGACCTTACCCTAAAGGAAGTCCGGAATGTGCTGTCTTGGCTGAAGCAAGTTGCCGCCCAAAGTTCGAGACTAACTCAACTGGGTATCATGTTGCCAGCTGCTTCTCGCTGTGCTACCTCTGATCCTTTTGTTTCCGTCGTGCGTGTTTTCATTGGAGTCGCTTCGCTTGGTTCACAGTGGCCACGCCGAATGTAGCATATTTCAGGAATCACAATATGGATCGGTCTTCGCCGTGACAGTTAGCGAAGATGCAACTTCTGTGACGTTGAACGAGTTGCACACGATGATCAATATGTTCGATTCGACGCAGGACGTGACAGTCCAGCTTATTGATGTTACGGGCTCGGCAAGCTCAACTGCCACTCTCTACTCGGAAGCGTTGCCATTAGTTCTGGTAGAGGCCCCCATCTATTTCTTCCACAGTGCAACAAGTTTGACGATGACGGATCTTGACGGGATGACCTACACGGCAGCAAAGACCGATGTTGTGGTGTGGTTGTCGGAGGGGTCTTGCGTAGAGTTGAGTGTGACACTCAGCAGTGCTGGGGGAGTCTCGCTGATGGTGGTTACCTCTGGAAATGTACAGTTAGAACCCATCAGCCAGTGAGCCCCCGTCCGGCGGAACGACAACCGTGTTTGTAGGCGCCGGCGTCCAGGTGGGAGGAGGTGGTGGAGGATTGTTTGGATCGCCAGGGATCTACAATCGGGTGTCATACGCTCTCATAGACCCAGACACGTGCGACATCCGCTGGCGCATGGTTCTGGCGGGTACTCGCAAACGGTCGAGCCGATCAGACCCTTGGATTCACATGTTCATACGCGTGGCGCGCTGTACTACACCCAGTATGGTTCAGCTAAGTACAATGATTCGGCGGCGCCGAATGATGCTGTCTGTCAAGGAGGGCTGCGCTTCGTGAACACAGGCGTTTACTGCGGTCCCGAGGAGATGGACACGTCCACCTGCTTCGTTGCTTCTGTGCACGAGGCCGTTCCTGCTGTGGTTGACCCTGTCGGTATGAGTATCACCAGCGAGTGTCCCTTCGCGTGCATGAGCGAGTTGAAAGGCAGGACAGCGTCGACGTGCGCCAGATCGAGCGCAGAGGCGAGCGATATCCTGTGAAACTGATTTGCCGACCAATCAGCCACATGATGAAACAGGACGAGGGATGACGTCGGGAAGGACGAGGATGATATAGGGGAGATGGAGCTGGTGTTAGAGGACGATGGGGGATGTGGGGCAGGCGGAGCAGGAGAAGGAGGAGCAGGAGGAGGAGGGGGACAAGGAGGAGGAGGAGGAGGAGGAGGAGGAGGAGGAGGAGGAGTTGCAGGAGGGGAGGAGGGTAGCTCCCCACCCCTGCTCCTACTGCGGCGCCTCCCGCCCTGCGAGGCAGGCCCGCACAGCCTTGGCACGCCGTGGGATCCTTGGCCAGACCTGGTCCGAACTGGTGCGCTCTCTCTCCCTCTCTCTCTTTCCCTCTCTCTCTCCCGCCTGCGTCCTCCACCATCACCACCAGGAGCATGGAGAAAGGAGCTGGATCAGGAGGCGGACGAGCAGGAGAACGCGGAGGAGGAGGAGGAGGAGGAGGAGCAGGAGGAGGAGGAGGAGAAGGACAGCGCTGAGCCCGTCGTCGGCCAGTATCCTCGCAGCCAGACGGGCGGCGGCGGTCGAAGAAGGAAGTGGAGGAGGAGCAGGAGGAGGAGGAGGAGGAGGAGGAGGAGGAGGAGGAGGAGGAGGAGGCCGTGCACGGGGAGGACCAGCCGGCGCGCGCATGCCGTGGAGCGCGTCGCGCGCCCCAGCGGGACGCGCCGAGGCCAGAACCGACGCGGCGAAGGAGTTCCTGGGGTCGGTGGGTCCGCTGAACCAGGTGAAGTACGTCGGCAGCTCCAGGCAGCTGCCGCCCCTCCCGGTGGCACCCGGCCCACGTCCAGCGCCCCGCCGCCGCCGAGGTTCCGCCGCGCGTCCTGCGCTTCCCTCGGAGGTGCCCCCGTGGCTTGGCGTTTTCCCCGCCGCCGCCTCTTGCCGTTGTCTTCTCTCTCTCTCTCTCTCTCGCTCTCTCGCTCTCCCCCTGCCCCTCTCCCACTCCTGCTTCCGCCTCTGCTTCTGCTTTCTGCTCTTCCTCCCCTTCCCCCCCCCCATGGCCCCTCGCTCCTCCGCTCTGGGCCGACGGTGCTCGCCCTGCTCGGAGGCCGCCGTGGCCGGCTGCGCTGGCGCCCTTTCCTCCCCGTGTCAGGTCGGCACGTCCCCCAACAGGGAGAAAGTTCGAACGTGGGCAGAACATAACTCAGGAGAGGAAAAAACACACAGACACAATTAATCCTCGATTCCCCAGAGAATATGGGAAAATAGGGGCAGTGGGGGGGAAGACAGAAACCCAGAAAATATAGGAAAATATGGGGAATATTTTTATTTGTGTGTATTTATTTGTGTGTCCTGGGGCCCCTTCAATAACATGGGGGGCGACGTTCCGACTCTTTCTGCATCGTTGTTCTGTTGGCTGTGTTTATAATCTTCCTTCCAAGCTCCGCCTGTAGGAGGGCATGCGCGACCTAATTCAGGAGGGGGAAAAAACACGCAGACACAATGAATCGTCGATTCCCCGAAAATATTGGAAAATAGGGGCAGTGGGGGGGAAGACAGAAACCCAGACAATATGAGAAAATATGGGGAATCTGTTTATTTGTGTGTATTTATGTGTGTGTGTGTGTGTGTCCTGGGGCCCCTTCAATAACATGGGGGGCGATGTTCCGCCTCTTTCTGCATCGCTGTTCTGTTGGCTGTGTTTATAATCTTCCTTCCAAGCTCCGCCTGTAGGAGGGCATGCCCGACCTAATCTTATGTCGGGCCTGCCACCCTACATGGGGATTTTCGACGAAAAATAAGAATACCTCCAAAATGCCCCAAGAGGTCAAAAGATACCCCAAAAATCGTCCCCCCGACAGGGAGAAAAATCGAACGTGGGTAGAACATAACATGGGGGGCGATGTTCCGACTCTTTCTGCATCGCTGTTCTGTTGGCTGTGTTTATGATCTTCCTTTCAAGCTCCGCCTGTAGGAGGGCATGCCCGACCTAATCCAGGAGGGGAAAAAACACACAGACACAATGAATCGTCGATTCCCCAGAAAATGTGGGAAAAGATGGGCAGTGGGGGCAAGACGAAAACCCCGAAAACATGGGGAAATGTGGGGAATCCTGTTATCTGTGTGTATTTATTTGTGGGGGCGATGTTCCGACTCTTTCTGCATCGTTGTTCTGTTGGCTGTGCTTCATCTTCCTTCCAAAATCCGCCTGTAGGAGGGCATGCGCGACCTATGGAGCAGGGACCGACCGTCCTGGCATTCCTGTAGTCATACCACGAAATGTTCTTAGAGCCCGAAGATGTTCTAAGAAGAAACACACTGTTCTTAGAACACAAGCCCCATGTGTGACAACGAGACAGCCCCAGCCAGAGGTGTTCTCAGAACCTTTCGGGGGAGCCACGAGAGGTTCTTAGAACATTGTCTGGTGGGGCTACAGGCGAGCTGGGACGCTTCGCCACTGCTTGAACCTAATCCAAGCTCCGCCTGTAGGAGGGCATGCCCGACCTAATTCAGGAGGGGGAAAAACACACAGACACAATGAATCGTCGATTCCCCCGAAAATATTGGAAAATAGGGGCAGTGGGAGGGAAGACTGAAACCCAGAAAAAACATGGGAAAATATATGGGGAATCCTTTTCTTTGTGTCTACTTATCTGTGTGCCCCAGGGCCCCTTCACCGTAATCCCTGTGGCTTGGAGCGGCGACGCGCGCGCCCCTTTGCGGAGCGGCGCGCGCGTCGGGCACCCGCCTGGACTCTCCCGCGGCCTGCCGCGGCCACGCCCCCGGCCGGCCGCCACCGACCGGCCCGCGCGGCCGGGGGCCGGCCGCCGCGGCGCTGCGGCGTGCTGCCAAGCAGTGGCGAGGCGCCCCGGCGTGCCCAGAGCCATACCAGACAATGTTCTAAGAACTCGGCATCGCTCGGACGTGTGCAGTTTTTTTCTCGGCGAGAACCATCGAGGACCATCCTGGACCATCGAGGGAAAAAAACACGCACGAAACCGAAACATTCACGGGAAATGGACGTCCGAGCGACGGCAAGGCGAGGCGCCCCGGCGTGTGGCTATAGCCATACAGTGTCGTTTCTTATGCATGCTCCGCGTGCGGACCATATGTTTAAGATGCAGGGATCCAGTGCCAAAAACAACGATGAGTTCATGCATACATTTATTCATACGAATCAGGTATTCAAAGTCATATGTCTTTTTCTTTTTTTATAAAATAAAAAAAAACATCCTACGTATTAAAAACTGCCCTGTGCCAAACAATGTTCTAAGAACCTTTTGTGGTTCCCACGAAATGTTCTCAGACAAAAGGTTCTCAGAGCATTTCTGGCCGGGATTGTTTTGTTTTAACGCATCGGGTTTATGTTCTAAGAGGGGGGTGATGACTAGGGGGGGGGTGGATAGCATGGCGGGGGCCATGATTTTTCCCCAGATTTCATGGCGCCTCTTCTTTTTTCATGACGTCCCTGGCCCCCCCGCTGGGCCGCGCACATGCCGCCGGTCTTGGACACCCCCCTCTTGGCCGCTACCGATTTGTGGCTTCCACGGAATGTTCTCAGAACATTTCTGTCCTGGACTGTCTTGTTTTAACGCATCGGGTTTCTGTTCTAAGCACAGTGTTTCTGTTCTTAGAACCTTTTGGGTTCTAAGAGCATTTTGTGGTAGGACTATAGAAATGCCAGGACGGTGAGTCCCTGCTGCTCAAGCGCTGCCAGCCCGAGCGGGGTGGCGCCGCGGCCCCGCCAGCAGCAGCGGTGCGGGCCCCGAGGCCTCCCCAGACCCCCGACGCCGTGATCCCATGAGCCATAAGAGGTCTGGACCCCTTCCGAGGGACCGGCGCTTCGCCCCGAGTCGTTCTTGTGACGGTCCTGAGGCCCGGGAAGGGCCCCCATATAGGCCGCACATAGCAAAACGCCTTCGTCGAACCTGTTTCCCCAGTCACTGCTTGCACTGAAGACCTGGCATCGCTCGGACGTGTGCGTTTTTTTTTCTCGGCGAGAGCCATCGAGGAGCATCCTCGATCATTCGGCGAAAAAGCCACGCACGAAACCGAACAAAGACACAGGGAATGGACGTCCGAGCGATGGCCAGAAGGGGGTCCTGGCGGATATGGAGAGATTTGGCGAGGAGAAGCTGGGCCGTCTCCGGTCGGCGGCCGGGTTCCCGAGTTCCCGCGGTGCCGGGCGCCCCGGCTCCTGGCTTCTGCCTCCGGGCCGAGCTCGGTGGGCGGGGGGCTCGGTTCGACGAGACGTAGGAGTGGCCTTTCGCCGGAGTGACCTTCTGGTGCGGGCGCAGTGGGGCCCCCCGAGCACCGATGGCGATGCGACGGTAGCGTGTCTTGCGCGCCCGAGTGTGGTCCCCCCCGCGGCCCCCCAGAAGCCGCGCACCAGAGGTCACTCTTACCCAGGGTTGCTCTTGCGTGTAGCCGATCGGTGGGCGGCGGGGTCCCCGGGGGTCAGATGTTTGTTTTGTGTCCCGGGTTCCCGGGTTCCCGGTCGATCTTTTTTTTCGATGGCGTTATCGATCTCACCATCCATCTCATTCAATCGATCTCATTTTCGATCTCACTACCAACCTCACGCTCGACATCCTTATCGATCCCACCATGGGTTTCACTGTCGATCACACTATTCCTGTCACCATCGATCTCACGATCGATCTCACGATCGCTCTCGCGATCGGTCACACGATCGATGTCATCATCGATGTCACTATCGATCTCACTATCGATACCACTATTGATCTCCCTATCGGTCTCACGATCGATCTCACTCAATCGATATCACCATCGATACCACTATCGAACACACGATCGATCTCTCGATCGATTTCAATATTGATCCCACTCAATCGAGATCAATATCCGTCTCACACTCGATCTCACAATCGATCCTGGAATCGATCTCACGATCGATCTCCTTCAATCGATATCACCATCGATACCACTACCGAACACACGACCGATCTCTCGATCGATTTCAATCTCGATCCCACTCAATTGAGATCAATATCCATCTCACTGTCGATCTCACTATCGATCCTGGAATCGATCTCACGATCGATCTCACTCAATCGATCGCACTACCAATATCAATATCGATTTTAATATCGACCTCACAGCCGATATCTCACTTTGGATCTCATTCAATGGATCTCAGTATCGATCGCACTATCGATCTCACTATCGCCCGCTTGGCGTTACATAGCATATAACATAGCACGGGGCCAGTGATTCCGAAACCAATATCCCAGCGGAGGGGTCTCCGTTTCACTGCGATCTCACCCCCCAATCTCCGATATGTATAGAGCGAGGGAGAGAGAGAGAGAGAGAGAGAGAGAGAGAAAGAGAGAGAGAGAAGAAACAAAAGGATAACCAAACAAGTATGGTAGACAGAGAATGAGAGAGGCGGAGTAGAGAGAGAGAGAGGAATATAAAGTGCATGTAGGTACGTAGATGATATGTGTACGAATATATCTGTGCACCGGAATCCACAGGGAGTGAAGAGAGAGAGAGAGAGAGAGAGAGAAAGGGAGAGAAAGACACATTGAGAGAGAGAGAGAGAGTGGGAGAAAGAGCGAGAGAGGAACACATCATAACTGGACTCGGCTCAGAAGCGTAGATCTGATGTCGATTTAAGGGCGGGAGAGGAAGGCCGATGGAGGCACCCGCGAAGAGAATCCTGAAGTCCACTGCTTGGGGCCTCCTCTGGTGAAGTTTTCCGCAGCGCCTGTGGACGGCGGCAGCAGCCTGCGCAGGCCTCCGCGCCGCAGGGGGGCCCCACGTGGGCCGCGAGAGGAGGCCACCGCCACGGTCCAGGAGAAGGCCCCGCCTCCTCCTCCTCCTCCTCCTCCTCCTCATCCTCCTCCTCATCCTCCTCCTCACTCATCCCTCCTCCTCCTCCTCATCATCATCCCTCCTCCTCCTCCTCCTCCTCCTCCTTCTCCTCCTCCCCCTCCTCCTCCTCCTCCTCCTCCTCCTCCTCCTCCTCCTCCTCCTCCTCCTCCCCCTCCTCCTCCTCCTCCTCCTCCTCCTGTGTGATTTGAGTCTAGAGGCCGGTGGTTTTCAAGGCCGATGCCCCTGCTAGACTCCCTGAGCTTGAAGGTCACGAGCATGGGTCGTAACCATTTTGGCTCAAGACCCAACTTCCACTCATTCCTCATCACTCATACCATATCCACCCTACCCCTCTTCCTTTCCCATACCGTTCCGCGCCTTGTTTGTACAGCGTTGGGAGCTGTGTACTGAGAAGAGAGAGTGCGAGGGTTCTCTTGCTGGAGAAAAGATCCGACACTTTGGCTTCACTGTTGTCGTCCGCCGGGCGACAGTGGTAGCGGAGCTGTGAGCAGCTCTGAGTCCGCGGACCAATGACGGCAGCAGCGGAGCAAGGTGCTAATCGAGAGACACAGCGAGAAGAACGAGGGGAGCATTCTGCAGTACGGGCAGTGACTGATACACTGATGAGGCATGACGGTCTCCACCTCGACCAAGATGAGGCAGAGAAGTTGGCACGTCTTTTACTACTGGACGTGGTGCCGGCCAGTTCCCAGAGTCACCAGCGTGACTCACATGGGGACGACGACGACAGTGGACGGCGGCGCGGTCACGGGCAGAGTTCCAGTGCTCCGTGGTCGAGCGCCGAGGATCGCTCGTGGTCAGGCTGGCATGCACCACCGCCAGAGCACGAGTCGACGAGTGCCGGGACATGGTCCGGTGGTGGCGCTGCCGCGTCCGCCACCGAGACGTCCCAGGGCAGGTCGGAGCAGTGGCATTCAGGTGGCTGGGACGCGACGAGAAGCACCTGGCAGGAGCCGGACTACAAGCCTGGCGAGCAGCAGTGGGCTTCTTCGCGATCCACCTGGACTCCGGCTTCGACCTGGGAGAGCTACGGGGACAGGCATTGGAAAGACGAGCATTGGGGCGACTGGTCATCCGGATGGAGATGGAACGACAACTACAAGGACAGCAAGTGGGAGCCCAATAAGCGCCACTCCGGACATGATGACGACCGCCCCAGCACAAACACTGGCAAGGACTTCGCCGACCCCGAGATATGGAGAGGCTGGGGGGACTACCGCATGTGGCGCCGCACGGTGCTGCGCTGGAGAACACTGACGGACGTTCCCTCCCACAAGCAGGCTGATCGCCTCTTCCGCTCTCTTGATCAAGACCTTCAACGGAAGCTCGAGGACCTCGACGACGACACGCTGTGCAGCTCATGGGGTTTCGACGCCATCGTCAAACGCCTTGACCTGATGTCTGGTGAAAGACACGGCGACGAGCGACGGAAGGTCGCTCGAGAGTGCTTACTGGATTATTCACGCAAGCAGGGAGATAATCTCACCGAATATTGTGCACGTGTGGACACGGCCTTCGACAGGGTAGCTACCCAGGGGCTGCCGCTTCCAGACGAGTGGAAACTGATGTTCCTGGAGGAAGGAGTTTCTCTCGACGAGCGCTCGGCGCAGATGGTCAAGGTGCTCATGAGGGACCAGAAGGACTACAAGTCGGCTCTCTCGGCCATTCGGGAGATGGACATCTCCCATCGAGAGCATCTCAAGGCACGCAGGACCTACGCCACTATGGGCTCGGAAGCACCCCCACCTCAGGTGCCTACCTATCAGGTCGAGCGCGACGACGAGTCCCTGCTCGACTACTCGGATGTCTCCTCCATGGACTCAGACGGGGACGCAGAGGTCTGGGCGATCCTGGAGTCGGCCGACGTCGGGGAGGACGACGCGCCTGCAGCGCTGGCCGCCATTAACCAGGAGCGCCGCAAGACGTGGGAGCAGAACCGCGACTTGAAGAGACAGCTGAAGACCGACCGGAAGTTCTACGATAGGTCTGGCCAGGGCCGTGGCAGTGATGGGCGCGAGAAGGCTCGCAGGCCCGGCCGCAGGGCGGCAGACGGCACGTTCAGGGCGCGGAAGAGCCGCCTTCCGCTTGCTGAATTAATTAAGCGTACAAGATGCCGTGTCTGTCATCAGAAGGGACACTGGTCTCGAGAGTGCCCACAGAAGCAGGGCGCAGGAGCCAAGGACGAAAAAGGGGTCTCCTGCCACGGGTATGACTTTCCTGTGCGTGAATGCTTTAGATCACTCCACCTCCCAGTGCTTTGACGAGCCTCCTCCTCCAACCTACGCAGTTGTCCTGCTCGCCGTAGGTCCTGGGGCCATGGTGGTCGACACCGCGGCCGGTCAGGGCCTTGTAGGAGAGCAAGCTTTGCAGAAGATCGAGGGGCACTGGGCCTCAAAGGGGTTCGCCGTCCCAAGGGTCCCACCCAGGAACCCAAGCGCGCGCGGAGTAGGTGGGGGGGGTAAAGGTCACCCACACCGCTCTGATCCCTGTAGGCATTGAGGGTAGCATGGAGGTGCTGGAGCTGGATGTCCTGGACCAGGACGTTCCACCCCTTTTGCCGATAGGATTTCAAGAAATGCTAGGTGGGATTGTAGATCTTCCGAACAAAGCTCTGACTTTCACGAAGTTGGGGGTCACGACGCCTCTGACTAGGCTCCCGTCGGCCCACCGCGCCATGCAGGTGGGCAAGTTTTCGGTTCCCGCCAAAGACTTTAAAGCTCCGGCCTCCGTGTTTAGGTCGCACCCTCAGCTGCCGAAGGATGCGTTTCAAGCCAAGGGGAAGTACATCATCACGTCTGCTGTCAGCACTGGCCTGGGGGGGCTGTACCACGGAAGCTGCTGGGGGAGTCTGAGGGGGACGGAACAGCGTCCAAGGGGGTCCGGGACCTTTTTCTGGGAGAATCTTAGGTCAGATGTAGTCGGAACGCGCGCCGGGGCCTTAGTTGGGCCGGACAACTCAGGTTCCAGAACAGGTCCGCTAAGGGGTCTGGAGTCGGGCGGCACTTCCGACTACGCGCTGAGCGGTACGTGTACTTCGGGAATCGCCAGGGCTTTGAGTTCCAGGTCGAGACGTTTCAGAGCCAGGGGATGGTCGACAGCGCGGGGTTGGAGGTGGCCGACGTGGGCCACGAGGCCAGCCTCGACTTCGTCCACCTTCCTCGCAGCACTTGGGCTCGAATCATTCAGCTCGCAGCAATTCGACAACAGCCTCGACAACTCAGAGGCCGATTGGAGAGCAGATCGCGACGCCGCCAGCTGCTTCGACGACACGCGTGGCAGGCCAGAGGGGGCGTCGTGGAGCTCAGGAGCGGCCACATACGATGACGGACCGCATGCAGAGCCAGACGGACTCAGCCTGGGTCTACGGGGCCACCGGGACCTACGTCCCGGAGAACCTCAACAAGGGCGAGAAGGGATGGGCCTGCTTGGCCGGGTGGGTGCTATATTGGTCGGCGCGTCTGGCCGAGGAGTTCGGGAGTATGTGCCGCGCCAAGCGCTTCTGGCCGACCAACCTGCCCAAGTCTCTTCGTCGCCTCTCGGAGGCGTACGAGACGTGTTGGCACCCACCGACGCTCGTGAACTACGGAGCCAACTCATGGGGGAAGTGGTTCGTATGCAGCGGGTGCACGATGAGGGTCGGATACTGGGAGCTGAGGCCGACAAAAGGTACCGTGAAAGAGGAGAAGATGTGCCTGTGCAAGAAGAAGGACGCCGCGTGCACGCTGCGTGGACAAGGTTGGGCTCAGGGCGCGACCGCCGAGCCACAGTGGCAGGCCTTGATATGCGTGCCCAAGCCACCTCCTGGGGCCGAGAGGGCTCCGTTGCCTCTTCACCCGGGCATGATGGCCGGAGGTCTGGCGGGCGGCTCAGTCATGACGGCTCGGCAGCCGGCGTATCAGCGAGTGGCGGAGGACGCGGCGAAGGTCACCGAGGCGCTGCAGAAGGATCAGGCGGAACAGAGGTCCGCAGCAGCAGCAGCTCGCCGGGCGTCCTCAACGAAGCGCAAGCCAGAGAGCGACACGGAGGCTATGGACACCGCCTCCGACCCACTCGAGGAGATGCGCGAGTACCAGGCCAAGACCGAGAGGGACATGAAGGGTATGGTCGAGAGTCAATTTCAAAAGATGATGGCCATGATCCAAGGGGTGATGGCCTCGCAGGCGTCGCAGCAGGAGGCGCTCGAGCGGGCCACGACCACCGTAAAAGAGCAGATGACGGCGATCGCGACCGCCCAGGGACAGGCGCAGGAGGCCAGCCGAATGATCAGGGCCATAGCGCAGGGCAGCTCGAGCAGCAAGGCGGACCAGGTCAAGGTCACAGCCGCTGCAATCGACTCTCCCCCCAAGGCGGAGGCCAGGGCACCGCAGGCTCGGGAGGTTCCACAACGGCCAGTGCCGTCGGGGCATCCTTCGTCACTGGGCCAGCAGATGACCGAGCCACAGCCTCAGAGCCCACCACCTCTCGCAGCGGGGGCGCCGCCAGGAGTGGCTCCAACAGCGTGGGCCTACATTGGGACAGCACCTCTCGACGGGACGAGTGCGCCGGCGGCGATGGCCTCCCAGGCGATGCTGCACCAGCAGGCGGCAGCCAACGCGGGGGCGCCACAGCCGACGAGGTCACCAGCGCTAGGAGGCTATCCGACATATGGTCCCCCTGTCGAGCAGAAGAAGGACGCAGTGACTCCTCCCCGCAATCCGGATCGCCTCTTCACTGCGGACGAGATGCCGATCGGCTCCACGGGGACGCTGACCACGGAGGCCAGCATTTCACTCCCGGGCACGGACCTGGCAGCCCCGCCAACGGCAGCAGTCGGTCCCTACGGCAAGGGCAACAACAAGGGCAAGAGTACTCCCTCACGCAAGCCAGAGAACGGAGACCCGTGGACGCCGGGCCCGGAGGAGAAGGCCGCCGAGAAGCGGCGCCAGGAATACCACGAGTGGAAGGAGGCCGGGTGGAAGACCTTCCACAACGGCCGCTGGACGTGAGCGGGCGCTTGTCTCAGGAGCTGAGGGCGAAGAAGCTGCCTCATCCCGGGGGGGTCACTTTTTCGGTTTCTCCGGGGAAGATCAAGCGTCGCCAAGTGCTGGATTCGCTTCTGTCAATGGGGGCAAGGCCTCTGTCCAGGACCGGGTCTCGGGGGGTCGAGTTTCTTATGCCCTCGTGGGCGAGCACGGTCCTCGGGGATCAGAACAACGATGACCACGAAGTGTTTCTCACTAAGAGCGAGAGGAGACAGCTTCAGTCTCTCGTGGCCAAGTGCAGGGTCTCCTCGGATCTCATGTCGAGGTCGTTTCTTGAAGTTTTCTCTCCACCCCGAGTCGCCCCCCTCCTCCTAGAGGAGGCAGGACTGCGCACCCTGGGCAGTCTCGATCTGGCGACGGGGTGGGATTTTAGGAAGAAAGACGATCAGGACAGGGCCATGGGGCTCTGGACCTTTTGGCTTTCTGCATGAAGCTTGCGCTTGTTCAGGTTCAGGAGGGTCGACGTTTTGCTTCTGAGCATCCGAATGGGGCCGCGTCCTGGCGAAAGCATGTTGTGGATGTGATCAGGAAGCTTCCGGGGGTCATGGAGGTGGTCATACACCAGTGTGAGTTCGGTCTGTCCGTGGTCGAAGGGACCCTTTCTCGCAAATCCACCCGTGTCATGACCAACGACCCCGCCCTTTTTCGCCAGCTGTCAGGACGGCAGTGTAGGGGCGGCCACGAACATCATCACCTGGAAGGGGGACACACAACCAGGAAGTCACAGGTGTACCCCCCTAAGCTCTGCAAGGCCTTCGCCGATGCAGTGCTCAGAAGCATTCAGGAACAAGAGAGTCTCCTCACCATTGAGGAGATGGCGGAAGTCTGCTCAGAAGATCTTGGGGTGCGCCGGGTTGGGGTCGAGGCTTTCCCCAGTCAGGCTGAGTCCTCGGAGCAGCCTCCAGAGCAGGGAGAAGATGCGGAAGGTGAGGCCGAGGAGTCCGCTCTCCAGGAGGTTCCTGGAGAGCACGAAGTGGAGATAACCGCGCCCATGAAGCGGTTGATTCACAAAGTTCATGTGAATCTGGGACATCCTCGCAAAGAGATCTTTCTTAAGGTCCTGCGTGCGGCGCACGCCCGTCCCGAGGTCATTCGATTTGTCCGAGACGAGTATGAGTGTGCCGACTGCCAAGCCCAAGTTGAGCCCGCCGGGCATCGCTCGGTGGCCATGCCACGTACTTTCCAGTTTAACAGGGTGATGGCTGTCGATACTTTCTACGTTAATTTTGAAGAGGAATCGATTCCAGTGCTGAATTGCATTTGCCACGGCACGAATCTCCAGATTGTGGAAGTTTTCGACGGAACCTCGGAGGGGGCGTGGAGGGCTTTTCTCAGGGCCTGGATCAGGCCTTTCGGACCTCCTGAAATGGTGCTCTCGGATGGGGGGCCCGAGTTCAAGGGCCATTTCGAAAGAGGCCTTGAGCATCTCGGCGTATTTCAGCACGTGATAGACGCCGAGAGTCCCTGGGAAAATGGGCGTGTTGAGCGCCACGGAGGGTGGGTGAAACAGATTTTGCTTAGGGCCTCCGAGAGCAGTCCCATCACCACCCGAGCCGAGTTAGAATCCCTTCTCCACGAGGTCGTGGCAGCCAAGAACCGCTACCTCCACAGAGGAGGCTACACCCCTTTTCAACTCGTTTATGGGGTCAACCCAAGACTCCCCAATGACATGTTGTCAGATGATGGCGTGAGACAGGTGGGGGAGGGAGACTGTTCAGACGGCATGGGACCAGGACACGGCGGCCGCGGACTACGCCAGGCAGCACGCTATCCGGGATCTGGCTCGACAGGAGCTTTTCCGCTCTTCAAGCAGGCGGAAGCTGGCGGAAGCCTCGAAGGGCAATGTCCACAGAGACGCTAAGGTCTATCCAGGGCGGTGGGTTTTCGTCTGGCGCCGAGCCCCGACCTCCGGGAAGAAAACGTACGCGCTCCAGCGTGACCGTTGGGTCGGACCTGGACTGGTGCTTCTTCAGTCCGGAGGGGCCGTGTGGGTTGCCATGAGGAGTCGCTTGTGGAAGTGCTCATCCGAGCAAGTAAGGCTTGCGACGTCACCAGAGATTCAGGGCGCTGAAGTCATGTCTGACCCTGGGGTCCAGAAACTTCTTCGAGAGGCCCAAGTGGGCCGCGCGGGCGTGGGGGTCAACGTGGCGGCCGAAGGACCGCCACCTCGTGAGGCCTGGGAACCAGGACACGGTGTGGAAGTGGAGGCCTCGCCCATTCAGGCTCCGCTTCCTCCTCCCGCCAGGTCTCGGGCTCCTGGGGGCAACGTTCAGCGGCCGGTTCCCCCTCCCGGGCTGTCGCCCATCCCAGAGGAAGAAGTCGCTGACGCCACGGGTTCAGGTCCAGGGAGCGATACCAGGCCACCTACAGATTTATCTCGCTCTAGGCAGGTCAGTACCGAGGGAGGGGACGAAGAAGAAGAGTCACGACCGCACAAGTATATTCAAGCTGATCCGGAAGGGGCTGCCTTGCTCCCTCCGCTCTCGAGCGGCCCAGTGCAGGGTCAGTCCTCCAACTCCTCTTCCTCTCAGCCTCTCCCACTCCAACAGGCTCCAGAAGGAGGACGGCTGGAGGCCGAGCCTCAGCAGGCGTCCGTCATCGCTGATCTGGCAGCAGACTCCCGCATGGACGAGAGCCGTAGTGCCGGACAAGTCCCGGGTGATGGTGCACCCAGTGGGGAGTCCAATGTGCCAAGGCCGACTATGGATGGAACGGTTCTTCGGAACGAGATATTAGACTTGGGCATGAAACGTCAGGGTCAGCGTTTTTCGGTCACCAGGGGAGAGGACTTCAGAGGGGTCCCACCAGGGCGTGTTCGGACCCAGGTCCAAGAGCTGGAAGGTCGGCCGGAATCCAGGCCAGCGAGGCGCTCCAGGTCCCCTCCCCCTGAGCGGCCCCCGGGATCCGCCATGGAAGACGTTCCTATGTCAGGCTTTCTTGAGATGAATGACGCGAAGATAGATGCGCTTCTGGAAATGAGTGATGAAGAACTCGTGTCGCATGTCAATAACGTGGGAAGAACTTTAGACGAGGAAGGGTGGAGTGGCACCTGGGCTCAGTATCACAACGGCAATGCCAACTGTGAAGTTCTGCCCGGAGAATCGGGTGGTTTTTCTCTCTCACTGTTAGCTAATCGAGGGTGCGAGGTGCGTCTCAAAGACCTCGCGCCCGAGGAAAAGAGGGAATTCGCCTCTTCCGACTTGCAGGAGTGGGAGGGGATCGTTGCTACCAAGTCCGTGAAAGTTCACGCTCCGGCCGAGGGGCGTCAACTTAGGCAGCTGTTTCCCAATCGGGTCGTCTCGAGCCGGATGGTCCGCCGCTGGAAACCCCGAGGCAGTGTCGGAGCCCGACCTAAGGCGAAGTCGCGCTGGTGCGTGAGGGGACACCAAGATGAGGACACCGCTGAACTCCAAGTTTATGCCCCTACGCCATCCATGGAATCTCTCATGCTGTTTCTGGCCATATCTCTCATGTATGGCTTAGAAGGTCCATATAGGCGACATTAAGAAATCCTTTTGTCAGTCCGATCCGCTTAAGCGGCCCAGAGGGCGGGTTTTTGTGGAGCCCTGCGAGGGATTGAACCTTCCGGCCGGAGCTCTCATTGAGCTCATTGCTCCTGTGTATGGGCTCGATGACGCACCTCTCGCGTTTCATGAGACGTCGGCCAGGCTTCTGGAGGGACAAGGCTTCACGAGGGCCAAGTTGGAGCCCTGCTGGTTTTCCCGGAAGGAGAAGGGTCGCCTAGTCGCGCAGGTGCTGCTGGAGGTTGACGACTGGGCTATCGCTTTCCCTCCGGGTCAACAGAACAAGTATTTGACTGAGTTTAAGAAGCGTTCCACGTTCGGAAAAAGGGAGAAACTCGACGAGGCCGGAGTTGAGTATATCGGTCGAAGGCTTCGACTCGTGGGACACGGTACCGCCATACCGCGTATTCTTGTGGACCAGGAAAATATATTCTCGAGCAGGTCCGCAAGATACCGCTGTCAAGGGGGCGTCGTGGGGATCACTCCAGCCCCCTGGTTGGGACGGAGGTGGCGGAGTTCCGAAGCCTGGTTTACAAATTGAACTGGGTTGGACGGGAATCCCGTGCTGAGGCTGCCGGCTGCGCGTCTATTCTAGCGACCAAAGGGAACTCACCATGCGTCAGAGACCTGGTCGAGGCACATAAGATGGTGGATCACCTTAGGTCCACGGCCAGCATGCCCGTGATAACTCACAAGTTCGACCCCTCCCGCTGCATGTTCGCGACGGCCAGCGACTGCGGAGGAGTCGGCTCGGATGACTGCATGTTCCCACAACAAGCATGGCAGGTCTATTTAGCAGACAATGCTCTAGCGCACGGTCAACGTGCGAGGGCCACCCCCCTAGCTTGGAGATCATGCCGAGTCAAGCGCCAGGTGGCGAGCACTCTCGCAGGAGAGACGCTGGCGCTTTCCGGAGCTCTTGCTGAAGCTCAGTGGCTTCATCTCATGTTCGAAGATGTTGTGAGAGGGAACGTGGTGTCAGAAGCATGGCAGGGGAAAGTCGGCCCCTTTGCGGCCATTTTGACGGAAGACTGCCAGCTGATCGCTCACTCGCCCTCGGAGTGTGTCAGCATAGTCGACGCCAAGGGAATATATGACACCCTCAGCAAGCTATCAAATGGTTCTCGATCCGATCGTCGGGCCGCGATCGACCTCGCGGTCGCTCGGGATATCATGCAAAAGGTCGGGGGCGTGATTCGTTGGATGCCGCGCCCGTTACTTCCGGTCGACTGTATGACGAAATCGGACCTTGCCAAAACCAACGCGGCTCAATACGAGCTGCTCCGCTCCGGGTGTTTGCGTCTCTCGGCGGAAAGCGGGGCCCTCGAGGGCCGGCGCGAGGATCCCCGTAAGAAAGGCCGCTCCAGAGCCGAATCCCAGAGGCAACTCCAGCAGCAGGAGAACGATGGCAAGGCCAGTGCTGTTCAGCCGTCCCATGCCGAGTGACAGTCGTCACAGTCTGGCGGGACATGGCCGGTGCACGTCTCTCGAGGGTCGTCAGGGCCGAGCGAGATATCAGTGACCAGCCAGGCCGGAGCGAGGTCGTCAGGACTCGCTGCGGCACGACGGCAGCAGCAGTATTTACACGAATGGCACTAAAGTGCCCATTCCTCTCTCTCCAAGATGGTGCGACCCATTGGCTCGGAGGAGGGCCAAGGTGCCTTCGCGACCTATCAAGCTCACTGTTTGTCGGGGTACTGTGTGATTTGAGTCTAGAGGCCGGTGGTTTTCAAGGCCGATGCCCCTGCTAGACTCCCTGAGCTTGAAGGTCACGAGCATGGGTCGTAACCATTTTGGCTCAAGACCCAACTTCCACTCATTCCTCATCACTCATACCATATCCACCCTACCCCTCTTCCTTTCCCATACCGTTCCGCGCCTTGTTTGTACAGCGTCGGGAGCTGTGTACTGAGAAGAGAGAGTGCGAGGGTTCTCTTGCTGGAGAAAAGATCCGACACTTTGGCTTCACTGCTGTCGTCCGCCGGGCGACACTCCTCCTCCTCCCCAGCCCCCACGGCCCCACCGCGCCCGGTCGGGACGGCGCCGCGGCCCCGCCACAGCAGCAGCGGCGCGGACCCCCGGAGGCCCCCCCTCGAGGCGGCTGCGGTGGCGGCCCGCGGGGGCCGCCGGCGCGTCCGGGGGCGGCAAAGGGGCGCCGGGGCGGCAAGAGCCCAGACCCGGGCGGGGGGGAAGGCAAGAGCCCCGAAGATGTGGGAATCCTTAGGGGAACCAAAAAAGTGACAAAAACATGGGCCCCGCAAGTATGGGGAAATGTGGGGGATCCTGTGATTTGGGGAACACAATGTGGCATAAACACAACAACTCTGAGGTCCGCGCGGGTTTCTCGGATCGGCGCTGGGGCCCCCCCTGGCGGCGCCTCAGGCGCCGCCCCTGGCGCGCTCCGCGCGCCAGGGAGGGGGGTCCAGCGCCGATCCGAGAAGTCCGCGCGGACCTCCGAGTTTTTATGTTTATGTCACTTTTTGTTCCCCTGAGTATGGGGAATCCTTTTTTTTTTTGTGTGTGTGTGTGTGTGTGTGTGTGTGTGTGTGTGTGTGTGTGTGTGTGTGTGTGTTTCGTTTGTGTGTCCCAGGGCCCCCTTCCTCGTGGCCAGACAACACGACGGGCAGTGGCCTCCCCTGGGATCTCCTCGGCGTCGCACTTGTCCCACAGCGGGCGCTCTTTCGCCCCATCTCTGGTCCCGGGTCCCTCACAGATAGGTCGGGCTCGAAAAGTGGCGCAGCCAGGTGGGGTCCAGGACTCCAGTGGTGTTTTGTTGTTGTTTGTAGTGGTGCACGTTTTCGAAACGTCGGATCTCAAGGTCTGGGGGTCCTCTTGGCGGTCTCCGGGACCGTAAAAAAGACATGCTCGGGGTGAAACGCCGGCCCTGGGGAGAGGGTGGGGACATCTAGGAATGACTGGGGGGCCTCTGGCGATTGGATCTCTTCCACTCGCGGCCACAGAGGTCCAGACCATAGGGGCCTCGTTTTTCGTCTCGGATATCTGGTTTTGATTGGCCCCAGGGGGCCGTGGGTCCGCGATATATCAGGCCCCGTGGGGGCCAGAAGCGAGGCCGACGAAGTCGGGCCGTCGGAGATCGACGATGGATGGCGCGATCGGAGCGAAGGGTGAAGGCACACCGACGGTGTGCCTCCTCCTCCTCCTCCTCCTCCTCCTCCTCCTCCTCCTCCGCCCTCCTCCTCCCTCCTCCTCCCTCCTCCTCCTCCTCCTCCTCCCTCCTCCTCCTCCTCCTCCCTCCTCCTCCTCCTCCTCTCCCTCCTCCTCCTCCTCCTCCTCCTCCTCCTCCTCCTCCTCCTCCTCCTCCTCCTCCTCCTCCTCCTCCTCCTCCTCCTCGTGACCCTTCTCAGTCAGACCTCCGTCGTCATGATTGATCGGCACGTGAGAGGTATACCCAGACGTCCGCCGATCTGTTTTCGTTCCAATCCGCGGCCCGAGGGGTCCCGACCCCCTTTCCCGGGGGGGGGGGGCGGGGGTCGTCCCAGGTCCCCAGGCTCATAACGGGCCCGGGAGGCCGAAAGCCATGACAAAAAACCCGGGCTCACGACGGGCCCGTGAGGCCGAAATCCAGGAAAACCGCCGGATTGAAGCAATCACATCCTCGGAACTCTGGGTATTGACGACAGGTCGCATCTTCACTGCTGGGTGGTGCGGGGCAACAGGCCTGGCGCCGCGGCGGCGCCGCGGCCGAGGCGGCCCCCCCAAGAGCCGGTTTTTGTTAGACTCCGCCAAGTTTATTTTCATGGACGGAGGAAGGGGGGGGCCTGAACCTGAAGCAGGCCGCAAACGACTTGCACGTGCGGGAACCACGCAAATCGAAAGGCGCTCGCACTCCAGTATTCGTCTGAGGAGGTGCGAGGGGGGGGGCGAGCGCCATGCAAGTAAACCTGCTCGAGGCGAAGAATACTCCGGCTCCAAGCAACAGCAAGAGGTGCCTCTGAGTGGACCCCGCCGGCCTCGCACCCGCCGCCTCCGCGCACGGTGCTGGAGGCGGAGGCGCGGGGCGCTCCGCCTCAGCGCCGCGCCGGGTGACAAGCGGCACCACCCCACCCAGCTCGAGGTGGGGCACGTCCCTCCACGCAGGAGGAGTCCCCGGCTCGAGGTCGGGCCCGTCCCTCTTCGCGGGAGGGGTCCTCGAAACAAGTGAAGGATCTCCCACCGCGGGCCCCAAAACGTGCACGAACGACGAGCGCTGCTTCGCCCCACGTTTGACTGCCCAACCCCCCGCGACAGAGCGCCCGACTCCGTGGGGGTCCTCGCTGTGAGAGGCCACGGCGCCAGAGAGGCCTATAGGCTGTAGGGGCCGCGCGGCTCTCGCGGCGGGGTCGGCAAGCGGGCGCGGGTCCCTCTCACGCCGCTGGCCGCTCCGCGCCTGGCGGTCGCCCTCTGCGTCGAGGAAGCAAAAGTGCAGAAACATCAGCTTTTGGCGCTCCGCGTGGATTTCTTGGATCCGCGCTGCCCCCCCCCCCCCTGGCGGCGTCTCTGGCGCCGTCCCTGGCAAGAAATCCGTGCGGAGCGCCAGAAGTTCATGTTTCTGCCGTTTTTCCATGTTCTATTGCTGTCGGTCCGCCTTCGTCAGCGGTCGCATTCGCCAGGGGTCCTCGTCGGCGGCGGTCCTCTTTGTGGGCGTGGCCGGCATCGTCTTCATGAACGCTGTCGTCGTCGGTCCTGGTTGGCGGACGGGCGGCCAGCATCCCGTTTGCAGGCAGTGTTTGGCTCAGGCTCGCCAGCGTGCTGACGTGCTGGCCGAGGGTGCTGAGCAATTGGCGGCCACCGTATGATTAGAAGTCCGCAGCTGTGGTCTCTCCCCGTACGCCTGGAGACGCCCGCGCGGCCTGGATGGCTGAGGTGGCAATCCTGCGAAAGAAGGGCCGGAGGGCGGCTCCCCAGGGTGTCGCAATCGGGCCACCTGCGCCACCTGCGATCGCTGCACTACCCTCGGCACCGCGCCGTCGCTTCGTGCGAAGAGGGCGTGGCGGCGGAGGAAGGAAGGATGAGGAGCGAGGAGCGAGGAGGAGGAGGAGGAGGAGGAGGAGGAGGAGGGATGAGTGAGGAGGAGGAGGAGGAGGAGGAGGGATGAGTGAGGAGGGCGGAGGGATGAGAGATGAGATGACTGAACTTTTTGGGGGGAAGGGGGTCGGGAGACCTCTGTTGACGAAGATGGCGCGCGGCACGCGCGCGCAGGGCGCTACCCGCTAGTGGGCTGGACGCCTGGGACACGCAGTTCACCAACCCCGACTGGCAGCAGCCCCTGTACAAGGCCCGACGCCTCCTCCCTGCCTCCTCCTCCTGCCCTGTCGGTCGCGTCGCTGCGCTGGTTTTCTCGTCGTGCCGTCTGTGGTCCTCGCCGTCGTCTTCTGTCCTCGCCGTCGTCGTCCCCGGTGGTTTGCTTTTTTCTGCCTGGGCCTCGTGCCCCTTCGCGGGCGCGCACGAGGCTGACCGTGAATCGATGAGTCACTAAAACCTTGCAGGAAGGCAGCAACAAAAACAGCACCAGGACCATGGAACCTTCATGCCTGTGGAGGCTTCAAGCAGTCCTGATGGGTTTCCTAGTCTGCAGGGCCAACTTCTAACACTGGACGGTCCTCCTCCTCCTCCTCCTCCTCCTCCTCCTCCTCCTCCCCAGACCTCGTCGCGCTGCGAGGAGAACGCGGCGGACGTTTTGGCATAATTTTTTCCCAACCATCCTGTGGTGTTGGGTCCTCGTTTTGAAGAGACTGCGCCCCGCGTCCACTCCTCCCGCTGCCCCCTTCCTCCTCTTCATCCCTGCGTTTCACCCACCGCTTCGTGGCCCCATAGGGAGCTCCACCGAAGGCCCCACTGGCAGGGTTCGCATGGCGGCCTCGGGCCATTTCGGCACACCCCTCACGAAGATCGTGGCCCCATAGGGAGCTCCACCGAAGGCTCCAGTGGCAGGGTTCGCATGGCGGCCTCGGGCCATTTCGGCACACCCCTCACGAGGATCGTGGCCCCATAGGGAGCTCCACCGAAGGCTGCAGTGGCAGGGTTCGCATGGCGGCCTCGGGCCATTTCGGCACACCCCTCACGAGGATCGTGGCCCCATAGGGAGCCCCGCCGAAGGCGCCAGTGGCAGGGTTCGCATGGCGGCCTCGGGCCATTTCGGCACACCCCTCACGAGGATCGTGGCCACATAGGGAGCTCCACCGAAGGCCCCCAATGGCAGGGTTCGCATGGCGGCCTCGGGCCATTTCGGCACACCCCTCACGAGGATCGTGGCCCCATAGGGAGCTCCACCGAAGGCCCCAGTGGCAGGGTTCGCATGGCGGCCTCGGGCCATTTCGGCACACCCCTCACGAGGATCGTGGCCCCATAGGGAGCTCCACCGAAGGCGCCAGTGGCAGGTTCGCATGGCGGCCTCGGGCCATTTCGGCACACCCCTCACGAGGATCGTGGCCCCATAGGGAGCTCCACCGAAGGCCCCAGTGGCAGGGTTCGCATGGCGGCCTCGGGCCATTTCGGCACACCCCTCACGAGGATCGTGGCCCCATAGGGAGCCCCGCCGAAGGCGCCAGTGGCAGGGTTCGCATGGCGGCCTCGGGCCATTTCGGCACACCCCTCACGAGGATCGTGGCCCCATAGGGAGCTCCACCGAAGGCGCCAGAGGCAGGGTTCGCATGGCGGCCTCGGGCCATTTCGGCACACCCCTCACGAGGATCGTGGCCCCATAGGGAGCTCCACTGAAGGCGCCAGTGGCAGGGTTCGCATGGCGGCCTCGGGCCATTTCGGCACACCCCTCTCGAGGATCGTGGCCCCATAGGGAGCTCCACCGAAGGCCCCCAGTGGCAGGGTTCGCATGGCGGCCTCGGGCCATTTCGGCACACCCCTCACGAGGATCGTGGCCCCATAGGGAGCTCCACCGAAGGCGCCAGTGGCAGGGTTCGCATGGCGGCCTCGGGCCATTTCGGCACACCCCTCACGAGGATCGTGGCCCCATAGGGAGCTCCACCGAAGGCGCCAGTGGCAGGGTTCGCATGGCGGCCTCGGGCCATTTCGGCACACCCCTCACGAGGATCGTGGCCCCATAGGGAGCTCCACCGAAGGCCCCAGTGGCAGGGTTCGCATGGCGGCCTCGGGCCATTTCGGCTCACGAGGACCGTGGCCCCACTGGAGCTCCACCGAAGGCGCCAGTGGCAGGGTTCGCATGGCGGCCCCGGGCCATAGCGGCACATCCCTCACGAGGATCGTGGCCCCATAGTTGCGCTGCTTCAACAACCGCGCATGGGCGTCGTACTCCGCCTTGTCGACGTGCAACGCCACCTCCTCCCTCATGGCTCTCAAGGCCTTCTCCTGCTTCTGCTCCTCGGTGAGAGGGACGCCGTCCTTGTCGTCGTCGGCGCCCGCGAAGACGGCCACGAACGTGTCCCTGAGCATGTCGGGCTCCGGCGGGAAGCCGTGGCCACATAGGGAGCGCAGGCGAAGATGGCATTCACAATTGCGGCATTCACAACTGCATATGGTTGGGTCCTTCGCCAGGATAATTTTCGGTGTGGCCCCGTGCCAGTATTCGGGGCTGCCGAAGAACGACCAGGATGAAAAGGCTGGCCCTGGGCAAGGGGCCGAGGCCTCCAGAGGTTCCCGCCGTGGAGAAGCACGCCCTTGAGTTCTGGGACCCTTCTGGGCTGGACAGGAGGGCAGCCCAGGAGGAGGGGCCCAGAACTCGGGCCAGGGCCACTGCAAGCGTTTCGAGGCCGCTCGTGCCGACGGACGAGTTGTCAAGTTGAGAGCAAAGCGGTCAGCTGGAAACATCGAGGGATGCATCGACACGCCTCAGCGCCGCATCAACGGCTTGCAGCACGGCGCCAACGAGAGGTGGCTGGGCGTGGACTACCAACCGCGGGGGCCGCAGAAGCGCACCACCAGGGCCAAGAGTGCGAAAATCGCCAAGGGCAGGTGGCGCAAGGCTGCGGCGCTGAAGCGACGAGGAGTGCGAGTACGACCAGTAGTGCAGCAGGGTCTCGAGGCGTCGGTCGCGTACGGCGCGTCCTGCACGGGGAGCTCCCCAGCCATCATGAGGTTCGTGGAGGCAAAGACCGCGGCGGTGCGAGCTGGCACGGGCGCCTTCCGCTCGGGCACGCCGGGCAGAGCGCCGGCTTCCAAGACGGACGGCGCCGAACAACTGCTATTTGCGCCAATGCGGGCCTGGCTGTGCGAGGCGCGGGACTGCGCCGACCGCCGCAGGGTCATGGCACGCGCCTGGGGCCGACAGTGGCCGGCTGTGCAGCGGGCGCTCAAGACTGTTCCTGGCACGTTCGGCCACTGGAAGATCGTCAAGGGCCCCATTGCAGCCACTATGCTGACAGCGCACGAGATGGGTTGGGTCATGACTGGTCCGCGGCACCTCCAGCTTTCGAACGAGGTGGTCGACATTCGCGCGGTGCCACCGCTGGAAGTGCTGAAGAGAGCAGGGCAGACCATCATGGACAGGAACGTTTCATATGAGGCCTGGGCTACGGAGGGACGCAGACTCCCTCGACCGAGGCCGCTCTTGTTACCCATCCAGCAACTCATTCGCTCAAAGTAGTCGGATGCTTGGACTCGCCACTACATCAACTGCGCACGTGCAGCTGCTTTGGGTGGGTATCCATCTCAAGTTGTATGCTATGAGCGTGGGGAGGTCGAGAGTCCGCTGTGTCCTCTTTGCAAACAACTGAGGGGAACCTTGATGCACGCATATTACACATGTGATTCTGATGTTTGTGTAAAGATTCGGAAGGAGCTGACATATCCCGATTCAATAACCTTTTCAAAAATGTTGTGCGCCTGGGAGAGACTGCGACCTGCAGGGAAGACCAGCACTGCCGAGACAGCCGTCTGTTGTGCTGGAAGTGGGCCCGCGGCATCATAGCAGACCCCGTGGGCGAGCACTTGGTCCCGACGCCGCCTGACGAGTACACGTTCGGGGACCAGAACAGTGACCGCGTCCTGACAGGCTGGGTCGCCACGGACGGGTGCGTGCTCAGCCCTGACGTGGAGAAACTATCCACAGGAGGCTTCGTCGCAATCAGTTGGGGCCGCGAGAAAAATAGTGCGTGCCAGTCTGTCTTTGGGAGCGTTCCCGTTTCACGGCCCACGTCGGCCCACGGTGAGGTCTGGGCCGTGTTTCAGGCTGTTTGGAATTCCGCGGGGCTCGAGGGGAGCCCATTATTAACAGCAAATCCACCGTTGAGGGCCTCTTGGCGGGTAGGGGTGTTTGCAAGAGGACCGATCAGATCACCGCGCATATGTGGCGCAGGACCTGGGCTGTCTTGGAGGACCATGGGCCCGCGCCTGGGGTAAACCTCAAGGCAATCAACATTAAGTCTCACAAGACAGTTGCGCAGAGGTCGCGCCTTGAAGGCGAGGCCATGAAACACTTCATGATGAATAAGTGTGCTGACTCCCGCGGGAGACAGGGCGCAGAGGAGCACGCGGCACCTAAATGGAGAGTGGACCAGGCCAAGGCCGGCTTGAAACTCATGCGTAGAGTTTTAAGTTTCGTGACCTCGTTCCGTGTAAAGCTGTCGGAATCCAAGGTTGCCACCGCGCGACTCCCCCTTCCCGCCGTGGGTTGTGCTCGGAAGCGGGAGCGTGTGGCCCGCCCAGCAGCGGTCGCCGAGCGGACCCACCGCCTCGGGCCCCTCGAATGTGGCACCTGGAAGTGCTGAGCCCGTCCCCGCACCGTCCTCCTCCCCAATCGGCTGGCCATGGCCCGAAGGGAGGAATGCCCTGTGTGGGAGGGCGCGCTTGCCAGGGGCAGGGCCGGTCTGGTTTCCAAGGCTTTGGTCCACGGAAGCGGTGGCCCAGGGAAGCCCAGTTTTGTTTCGGGCGCCGATGTCGGAGGGACCGAAGCGAGCCCCAGCTTTGTTCCTCCATCCCCACCGCGCCAGCACGAGGTTGTCGAGCGGGTGGGGTATGCGGTTTGAGTGCTTCGTGGTGCTTTCGCAAAGTCTCGGGCTCAGAAGTTGCTGCGAGAGTGCGAAGGTCCCTTGAAGAAGGGTGTCGTGGCCCATAAGAGTCGACGACGCTATTCAGATCGGCTCCTCGACCGTAGGGATCCCTACACAGGCAAGCCTGTCCGGGAGGAGGATTGATCGAACTGTTTATCTGTTCCGGCAGGTGGCGAGCGATTGTGAGGCTCGCCCCCAGGAGCCCCCAGAACAAAAAAAGAGGAGGAGGTGGAGGAGGAGGAGGAGGTGGAGGAGGTGGAAGGTGATGGAGGGGAAGGAGGAGGAAAATAGGATAGGATGGGGTAGGATGGGATCGGATAGGACAGGATAGGATAGGATAGGACAGGCTAGGATATGATATGATAGGATGGGACAGGAGAGGGTTGGACAGGATCGGGCAGGGTGAATAATATAGGATATGGTAGGATATGATATGATATGATAGGATAGGATAGGATAGGAGGATTGGAGGATAGGAGGATAGGAGGATAGGAGAAGGAGGAGAAGGAGGAGGAGGAGGAGGAGAAGCAGGAGGAGGAGGGGGGGGGAGGAGGAGGAGGAAGAGAGACGGAGGAGGAAGAGGAGGAGGAGGAGGAGGAGGAAGGAGGCAGAGGAGGAGGAGGAGGAGAGGAGGAGGAGGAGGAGGAAGGAGGAGGAGGAGGAGGAGGACGGAGGGAGGAGAAGAGGAGTGAGAAGGAGGAGAGGGGGAGGAGGAGGAGGAGGAGGAGAGAGGAGGAGGAGGAGGAGGAGGAGGAGGAGGAGTGCTCCAACAAGGAGGCGTGCATATGCCACATGTTCTGCCTTCGGCCCTTGGCCTCCCCGCTCCCCCCCTCCCCTGACGCCGCATATTTTTTTCTCTCGGCGAGGACGCTCGAAGCGCTCCTTCCCCGAGATTGGCCACTCGTCCTGCTTGGCAGTCCCGGGGCCTGGTAAAGGCTTCCAGAGGCCGAAAATAGTAGAAGAAGAAGAAGAAGCTTGATAAACATAGACTTTTAGCGCTCCACGCGGATTTCTTGGATCCGATCTAGGCCTCCCCAGGCGGCGCCTCCGGCGACGCCCCTGGCGCGCTCCGCGCGCAAGGGAGGGGGGTCGGGCGCGGATCCAAGAAACCCGCGCGGACCTCCAAAAGTTTATGTTTATTTGTCGTTGTGTTCCTCTATCATCCTGGTTGGTAATCCCAGGGCCCGGTAACGGCTCCCAGAGGCCGACGATTGGCAAAACCGCAAGTCGCACAGAGGCCCCAAAAGCACCGCGGGAGTCGGCCAATCACCTCAGTCCCCTAACCTTAAGTCGGGCATGTCCCTCTACAGGAGGACTATTCAAAAATAGTTCAAAATAGTCTCGGGACGACTTTTATATTATTGTTTCGACAGTTTCTGAAAATCTGGGATGATTTTTCACACTGCATCCAAAATCCGCCTGTAGGAGGACATGCCCGACCTGACCGAAACCCTTGTCCTCGATCGTCGAGCCTCCCCGCGCCGCCGCTCAGGTCCCCGCCGAGGTCAAGACTAAGCTCACGCGAGAGGCGGCCCCCCACTGGTCGCGCCCCCGCCGACTCCTCCCTGGGAGCGCGGTGCGCCCCTTCTCCCTCCTCCTCCTCCTCCTCCTCCTCCTCCTCCTCCTCCTCCTCATATCTTCCTTCTTCTCCTCCTCCTCCTCCTCCTCCTCCTCCTCCTCCTCCTCCTCCTCCCCCTCCTCCTCCTCCTCCTCCTCCTCCTCCTCCTCCTCCCTCCTCCTCCTCCTCCCACCCTCCTCCTCCTCCTCCTCCTCCTCCTCCTCGTCCTCGTCCTCCTCCTCCTCCTCCTCCTCCTCATCCTCCTTCTCCTCCTCCTCCTCCTCCTCCTCCTCCCCCTCCTCCTCGTCCTCCTCCTCCTCCTCCTTTTCTCCCCCTCCTCCTCCTCCTCATCCTCCTCCTTCTCCTCCACCTCGTCCTCCTTCTTCTCCTCCTTCTCCTCCTCCTCCTCCTCCTCCTCCTCCTCCTCCTCCTCCCCTTCCTCTCCCCCGTGTCCCCTCCTCCTCCTCCTCCTCCTCCTCCTCTTCCTCTTCCTCCCTCCTCCTCCTCTCTTCCTCATCCTCCTCCTCGTCGTCCTCCTCCTCCTCCTTCTCCTCCTCCTCCTCCTCCTCCTCCTCCTCCTTCTCCTCCTCCTCCTCCTCCTCCCCCCTCCCCCTCCTCCGCCTCCGCCTCCTCCCCCTCCTCCTCCTGCCGCCTCCTCCTCCTCCTCCTCCTCCTCCTCCTCCTCCTCCTCCTCCTTCCGTAGCCATTTTGGCTCAAGACACCATGCTTGGGAGGCTTCCAGCCTCCAGGCCAGCAGGGATACCGCTAGACCGCGGCAGATCACTGTCTTCTTCTGGGGTCCCACGGGGCTCGAGGGATCAGCAGCCCTGGCCGGGGTCCTCGAATTGCCGTGCGGCTTGGCGCGCCCCTCGTCGAACCGGTCTGCAGGTGCGATGGTGCCGCCGCCCGTCCACCAGAGGAAATGGTTTTGTCGCCACTGCAAGCACGATCGGTCCGGCAAACCATTTCTCAACTTCGCGGAGAACAAGAGCTGCTTCTCCTGCAAGCAGCCCAAAGGTTCGTGCTTCGCAGGGTACGTCGCGCTCAAGGAGCCGTCGGTCTCCGTCGGCCAGGGCACGAGCAGCGGCACGGCCGCACCCTGGTCGGTGGCCAAACATGCGGCCCAGGTCAAGCAGCTGCAGGCGGAGCTCAAGCAGGCCAAGTCGGCGCCGCCCGCTGGGACAGGCGAGGGCGACATGGACGTCGACGGCGGCACGAACCAGCGAGAGGCCCGCCAGCGCCTCGCGGCCATCGACAAGGAGCTGGCCGCCGCCAGGGCTTTCAGCGGCGAGGCCTGGCAGAACATGGCCAAGGCTCTCGCGGCGGAGCAGGCGCAGCTGCAGGCGGAGCTCCGTTCCGCGCAGCCTCACTGTCAACAGATGCGCATGCTTTTGCGCCAGATCGAGTCCAGCGAGCGCGGCCTGCGGAAGACCAAGAGCGACTTGGAGGCCAAGCGCGCCCAGTTGGCCGAGTTGCAGACCGACATCGGCCAGCACGAGCAGGAGCTGGTCGTGGCCGAGGCGGAGCTTGCCGACCTCAAGAAGCAGGAGGCCGTCCTCGTGGCGGCTGCGCCGTCGGACGCGGCCGCGCCGCCCGTCGCCCCCCTCGACCCCGTCTGCGTCTCGGCCCTTCAGCTGGACACGCAGAAGCTGGCTAAGTTGCTGGAGGAGCTCGGGGTGGTCGTCCCTGACCAGACGACCGTTGCGCAGCAGCTGGCGGCCAAGCTGCCCACCTGCGCGCAGCAGCAGCTCGTGCAGGTGGTGCCGACCGCCGCGGCAGCACCGGCGGGCGTAGCCATCGGCGCTGTCGCCGCCGTTGGGCCCGGGCAGACGGCCGCGGGACATCTCGCCCCGCCTGAGCAGCCAGGCATCGCAGGCTCCAAGCCCCAGCAGCCTGTCTTCGATCTTGGTGAGATGCGCACGCGACTGGGGCAAGCTGGCATCCTGGTCCCTGAGGGCGAGCTGGAGGTGCAGCAAGCCTTTGAGCGGATGCGTGCGGCCTCCGCGGTGCCAGGCCGCCCGCGGCCCCAGGGAGTCCATGGCGTGGGCCCCTACTAGGTTCGTGACGTCGCTGATGATGATGTTGGCTACGGTTCAGATTGCGCAGGCGGCGCAGCCCGCCGAGCGCGTGCTCTTTGTGCTCGGCTCGGACCTCGTTGACGAAAATTTGCCCGCAGGAGCTACAAAACCCAGTTCCTATCGAGACGCGGTTTCGACTTCTTCGACAGCTCGAAAACCCAGTTCCTATCGAGACGCGGTTTCGACCTGGGGAGACGCGGTTTCGGCAGCGCCATCTTCTGGCGCGAGCCGCCCGTCACACCTCGGCGGCGTGGCGCCCACCTCCGGCGCCGCGAACTGCGCGGAGGTTGCGGGCGGTTTCACTGCGAGGTCTGCATCGAGTCCATGTTCCGCGCAGGTCGCGCTGAAGCTCAATGAGCTGCTGCCCGCGGTCCAGCCCTTCTCGGCCGATGCGCTGACAGTTGGCGCCATCAACGCTGACACCTGGGCCGGGGCCAGAGCAGTCGGCGAGTGGCTGCAGGCGCGAGGGGGGCGGCCCGACATCCTGTTCGTCCAGGAGACCCGGTTCTTCGACGATGAGATGGTCGGTTCTGCCCACCAGTGGCGCGCCGGGCAGGGCATGCAGCTGGCCCAGGGGCCTGTCCAGCGCACGGGGCCAGGGCGGTTAGAGGTCTCGGGCGGCGTGGGCATCGCGGTGTCCAACTGCATCGGCGTCGGCCAGGCGGCTAGCGTCGACGAGCGCTGGGCCCGCCGCGTCATCATGCGGCGCGCGCACTTTGGTGGCGGCGCCACGTTGCTCCTGGTGCCCCTGTACCTGGTCACGTCCATTGGCTTGGACGGTGAGAACATGGACCTGCTGGAGTACGTGGGCGGCCTGATAGGGCAGTTCGGCGAGCCCTTCCTGATAGGGGCCGACTGGAACGTCGAGCCAGAGGTGCTCCTGGCGTCCCGCTGGGTTAATCAAGTCGGGGGCGTGCTGCTGGCGTCGGACATGCCGACCTGCGGGCCATCAGGGTACGATTTCTTCGTGGTCTCGTCGACGCTGGCGCATCGGGCGGAGGCGCCACAGACTATGTCGGAAACACCGGTCGGCACGCACTGTTGCGTCAGCCTGCGCCTCCAGAATTTCTGGACGGCCCCCGTGGTGTGGTTCGAGGACCCGCTGCAGAGCCTTCAGCCTCCCCAAGACCAAGGGTGCGATCCTGAAGCTACAGGTGCCCGCGGAGGCGTTGGAGGCCGAGCTGGCTGAGCTGTCGGAGCCGCTGGAGGATTTGGCGTCGGCTTGCAGCTGTGGTCTGACCTAGCGGAGCGGCACCTGGTAAAGAAGTTGGAGGTGGAGTCGGCCAGTGTTCGGCACTACCTTGGCCGTGGCAAGGGCATCAAGATGGTGCTCAAGCCGCTCAGCGAGCTCCACCAGGCCAAGCAGCGGAAGCTCGACACCTCCAGCACGGAGGCTTGGGCTGGATTCCTGCGCTGCTGGCGGGCCCTGTGGCGCTGGGGCAAGGCGAAGGCTGGCTCCCGCGGTCATCGGCAGTCCCTCCACGACCAGCTGGTGCGCCAGGCCGAGGCGCTGGTCTTGCAGCCAGCGGTGTCCGACCAGCCGGCCTTGACTAACGCCGCCAGGGCTCAGTGGCTGGGGCTGGCCAGCAGGAACAGCCCGCTAGCCAGCTGGTTTGACGGGGTGCTGGAGACGGAGGTGGAGATGCGACGTCGAGCTGACGCTGCCCAGCGCGCCAAGGACTGGAGGTCCTTCTGCGCCGAGTCGCTGGATGGGCCAGGCCGAGTGGCCCATCGCCTCATCAAGCAGAAGAGAGGCGAGGCGGCGGCCGTCGAGGAGGCCGACGACCCTCGGCACCTGACCCAGGTCGGCTCGGCGGCGGCGGACGCCATTCTGGACGAGCGGCTCGTGCCGTGGGTCAAGCCTTCCAGGGAGTCGGAGGGGGAGGAGGCCAGCCAGTGGCAGGTCACCACTGGCCTGTCGGCCATCACCACCGACCAGGTGCGCGAGGTGGCCAGCAGGTTCCCTCGCCAGACGGGCCTCGGCTGGGACAACTTCCACCCGCGAGCCCTCCTCTACCTGAACGAGGTGCTGCTCCAGAGGTTCGTGGACATCCTCAACCGCTGGGAGAAGAACCCCGTCATGGTGGACCTTTGGCTCACGACGACGGTGTTCTTGCGAAAGCCGCCTCCGCAGCTCGGCCGACGGCCCATCGGCCTCCTCTGCGTGTGGGGGCGGGTCTGGTCTCGCGTGCGCCAGGCCGAGGTGCGCCGCTGGGAGCTCAGCGTGGACCAGGCCTTCTTTTGGGGCAAGTCGGGGGGCACGGCGTCAGACAGGGCTGCCTATGTCCACAACTTCCTCGTGGTGCACGCCCGGCGCCACAAGATGGTGAGCGGTTCGGTCTTCTTCGACCTGTCCCGGTTCTATGAGAACGTCTCGCGCATGGCGCTGAGGCAGGCAGCGCAGCACTACGACTTCCTCGACCTGGGCCTGCTCCGCTCACTGTGCGTGCTGCGTGCTCTACCGAGGGCCACGCCGAGTCCGTTGGCTTTCTTGCGCGACTCGGGCCATCTGGCCGAATGGCACGGTGGTGGCGGGGTGTTCCTGCGCCGCGGGGGTCGTCAAGCTGCTGACCTTGTGCGCGTTGAAGCAAGTGGTGCTCGACGCGCCCGTTTGTCGGCCCATCAACTTGGTCGACGATATCAAGCTGCATGCTGTAGGAGGCTTTCGCACTGTGGCTGCTCAGCTGGTCAAGGCAGTGAATTTGATACTGTCGGCCATGCAGCAGCTCGGGTTGCCAGTCAACACGTCCAAGTCTTGTTTTTTGGTTTCAGACAATGAGCTGCTCGACCTTCTCCTCGACGATCCCGACTGGCCGCTCGATGTGTCGATGCTGTCTTACTCGCATCGGGACCTCGGAGGGGACGCGGTCGACGGCGCCCGCCGCAGGATCC